GGCGAGACAGAAGAACAATGGATAAGCTGTGGCAAGAAGTCAGTGAACCAACAAAAGGTATACATAACCAAGACATTCAGTTTTCAAACGAGCTACATGAATACTGGCGAAAATTTGGAAGAAATTGCCTAGATGAGTGGCTCATGTGATAACAAGAAAATTTCTATATAATTCTCTTGATGTCGCAGGTTTCTTCTTCTAGGCCATTTCTTCTAAACTTTCATCATTCATACTATTTATGTATAATCAAAGCTGTCAGTTTTCCTATGTAGTACACAGACGTAGCTCGAGTATACAAGATTATTGTAAATATATATAGCATTTATAATTATAAGAATTATAAAAATTTAAAAAACATGATTTTAATTTAGGAGTATATTTTAGTGAAGAGTGTAAAAGAAAATGGAAAATCTCCGTGACCGTTTTATGCGGATTGTTTCAGCGGAGAAGCTGCCAAGTGGGGCGGCAAGTCAGTCGAAGAAGAATAAATGGCGTTTCTACGAATCATTAAACTTTTTGCGTGACACATTATTAAAAAGAGAGTGAGTACAAGAAAACAATTTTTTTAATTTTCAAAAAATGTTAAAAGCATTGCGAAAGTATTTGAACTACTTTTAATTAAGAAGCAACATATTAATAATTATTACTGTTATTTCAGAACTGTATCGAATACGCTATAGTCTGTAACAACAATGTGAATGTCGAAGACGAAGAGGAAAAAGAGGAAGAATCTGCACAAGATGATACCGGGTGGCACCCAGTTGGACACGGCTCAATTGGACACGAGCCACTCACAGCACTTGAGACTACAAAGCTCCTAAGCACCGGTCGATGTGATTGGTGGTGTCCAATCGAGCCGTGATCAATCGGGATCACCTCGATGATACCTAGGAGTATGTTGCATTTTATGCTCATCATTTTAATTTGTGTACACGTATATCAATATGTTTACCTATTATTTTCAGAGAACAGCAAGAAGCAAAGGATCAACAGAAACTCAAACCAAGATAATACTATCTTGGCACAAATAAGCGAGGTATTACACGAGCCGCCGCCAACAATTTCTTTGCCATCAATTCCAGTAACGAACGAAGAAGAACATTTCGGGATGATGATTTCCTCGCAACTTCGTCGCTTTCCAAGATTTCGCAGGAGACAACTAATGTTAAAAATACATAAAATGTTATATAAAGAACTAAATAAAGCTAAATAGAGCAATAAGTAGGATATGAAGAAAATGTATTATAATGTTATTTTTTTATGTATTTTATAATAAAATATTTTATAATATGAAGAAATAATATAAAAAGTTTTTTAGAGATTTTACGAATGTTTTCTTGAATATTGGAAGAATGTTTTTTAACATATAAAATGATCGTTTTTATAACAAAAAGTTATTAGTAATAATTAGTACGAAGTTATTAGTAATATTAATACGTAGTTATCAACAATAATGTTAGTATAAAGATTAATGTGTTTACGTAATAATAACTTATAACTTAATTATTGGTCCCACTGCCATGGTACGGCACCTTCATTGTTGAAATATTGGCAGAAAAGTTCTCTAATTCTGATGGCTTTTCGAGTACTATTATGTGTGCCACAATTGAACACGTCTGTAAAAGCACATCCATTTTCTATTATTGTTTTCCATGAACCTGGAATGTGCACACCATCTATTGTTTCTTTATCCAATAGGTCGGATGTTACATAAAAATCGTTTTTGGAGTCTTTATGAAGCCAGTTATGCAAGCAAATTGTACTTTTAATCATGCTCATGGTTGTGTTTACTCTAGCAATAATTGGCTTTCTGTAGATCCTCCATTGACTTGCCAGAATTCCGAAGACGTTTTCAATAATCCTTCTGGCACGACTTAATCGATAATTATAAACATGTTGATCTGCATTCAATGTCTTTTTGCCTCCTCGTGGATATGACCGAAGCAAATATGGCTTAAGTGGAAACGCCTCATCTCCAACAAGGCAATATGGCAGCAATGGTCCTCCAGCATAAATACATTCTTCTTTAGGAACTTTTATTGTGCTTGTTTCAAATTTTTGTCCAAAGGTGCTCTCTTTAAATACGCCTCCATCACTGCGTCGACCATACGCACCAATATCCACGAACAGAAAATTGTAATGCGCATCACAAATGGCTAGTAAAACAATGCTGTGACTGTTCTTATAATTATAAAAGTTTGATCCTGCATTGTTTGGACACTGAAATAAAAGTATTTAATTAAAATAAGGCTACACTCGAATAGATCATTACAGCAGTGCATTAAAGATGAATATATGATATACCTGCATTGTAACGTGTTTCCCATCAATTGCCCCAATACAGTGTGGAAAATCCCACAAATCATTAAAGTCCTGAGCGATGCTTTCCCATTTCTGTTCATCAATAATAGGTGGAAGAACTAGCGGACACAGTTTATCCCAGATAATTTTACATGTTGAACTCGAATGATTTCACTTACAGTAGTTAAACCTACTAAATATTAAAAACTCATAGAGGTCATTGAATCTCCTGATGCAAGATATCTAAAATGTAAACACAAAATATCATTGTTTCACATTATCTTCGAAACGTTAGCTAATTATATATTTTTCATAATTACATATACAAGATTTATAAACATATTACCTCAAAGTTAAAATTAGACGTTCCGCTGAACTTATAGGCTCGCGTACAACATACAGCCTCTGCAAATGCGGCCCTACAATTTCTAATAAAGTCTCAAGTTGCATAGCTAACATGTGAAAATAGTTTTGAAATCGCAAATTTTCCAGTCTCAGAGTTGGAGTAACGCATAATAAAAACCATGTCTTTTTCGTTTTTGGATTAAAAGACTAACTCATAAACGTTTCTTTTGGCTCTTCTTTTTCTGCCTCTTTTTCATTAAAAGAATGACTAAAAGGCCCGTCTACAATACACGGAGTAAGAAGTAAGAGTAAGAAATTGACCAATCACAGTCGATTATTCTTCTCACATTCGACTGTGATTGGTCAATTTCTTACTCTTACTTCTTACTCCGTGTATTGTAGACGGGCCTTAATACTGCAAGCATTTGCTTACGCCGGACATAGTACACATATTGAACATTTTAATATTTGCACACTCTACTAGATATTCTCGATATTTGACGATTGAAGCCATTAATAATTATTGATGACACTTTATTTATTAACGTTACTTTATTTTTAATACAACGCGTCAATGTGCGGTAATCGAGGTATCTCTAATGGCAAATTCGATTGGATACATTAGTGCGCACTAGTGTGCATTGAGTGCGCCTTCTCTCAGTTTTAGCGTGTTCGATTGAGGTTATCCTCTATTAATGCATCTGCCACTTGTGTTCGATTCATAACTGCACTAGATTATAGCGTATTCGATTTACTGACTCGACCCCATGGTATAAGGATAAGGGTA